GGGGGAAGGCAGAATCTCCACTGAATAGTTTTCATCTTGTCTAGATGGGTCTGATACAAGGAGATGGGGATAAAACTCTTATGACTCAATAGTGAATAACTGTTATCATGACTAATTGTGACAGTCACAACTATGAAAGTAGAAGTTTTGTAACAAAAAGGGGGGAGTAGTTAATCTTATAATCCAAGAACAGAGGATCCTAGGACCATCAAGGGAGAAGAGCATGAGTAGAATGTGGGACCCTATCCAGAGAAGCAGTGACACCAGAGATAGAGGCAGAGATGAAGACATGGTGAGAGTGAGCAGCTGAAGACTCTAGACTCATGGAAAGAGAAAGGCTGTATGCTGCTGGCGACCAGGAGGCAGGCTTGCAGAATATGTCCTTTGTTTGTTTAATGATTATATATTTCCAAGTGTTTTTGTGTGCATCAAAAAACAAAAAAAAAGCAGAGGGAATAGAAGCAAATACTATTGAACGATTATGCACAGAGAAGACTGTAATCGTTGCAATGAAATGATGAGTGTAAAAAACCAATGTTCTCCCATGTAAATTATCACCCAACTCACAATAAAAACTTAAAAAAAAAAATCAACATGAAAATAAAAATAAGTTGCTGTTGCAAAGAAAAAACAACAACAAAAACCACCTAGGAGCCCTGTTGGCACAGTGAATTAAGCATTGGGCTGCTAACTGAAAGATTGGTGGTTCAACCCCAACAGCTGTTCCACAAGAGAAAGATGAGGCACTCGACCTCCATAAAGACAGCCAGCCTGAGAAACCCTTAGCAGCAGTTCTACTCTGCCTCAGGTTGTTTTAAAGCGCTATCAAGTCAGTTCCACTCATACAGACCCTCTATAGGTTTCCAAGGAGCAGCTGGTGGGTTTGAAACACCAACCTTGCACTTAGTAGTCCAGTGTTTTTCCTACAGCACCACTCCAAGACTCTGAAGGGTAGCTATAATTTGTAATAAAGTCAACAGCAGTAAGTTTGTTTTTCTGAATATGCCTAAAAAATAGCCAAGTCATGGAGGTGTGGGGGGGGGGGGTGGACAAAACAAAACAAAAAACCCTGAAAAGTGATCACAGAATAGAGAAAACTGGAGAGACATGACAATTAAATGCAATGTCATAGCCCGGGATGTGCCCTGGAATAAATGGACATTAGACGATGGAGGATAAGCTCAGGACTGCAAAGTCAGTTGAATAGCAAGGTCAGTGGTTCAAACTCACCAGCTGCTCCTTGGGAACCCTCTACAGGATCACTAGGAGTTGAAACTGACTCAATGGCAATTAATAACAACAAAATGAAAAACAACTGAAATGGAAATAAAGTTTGATGTGTATGCAGTTAATGCTGGTTTATGAATTTGACAAACGTACCACAGAAATGTAAAATGATAGATTCAGGAAAAACTGAACCAACTGAGGGGGTATACGAGAACTCTCTATATTATTTTGAAATGTTTCTTTAAATCTAAAACCATTCTAAAAAAAGTTTAAATTTCTTAAATTAAGGTAAAAAAATTCCATTCGGAATAATATTATAAGAATATAATAACTATAATATAAAAATTAAAATAAATACTAGTCGGACCAAGCAGGCTTGACAAATGTGCAAATTAAAATAATCAAGATCAGTGACTACTTCAACTTCTTCATAAATTATAACCATAAATACATAGTATAGTGATATACATGTATGTATATATATAAATTTATAAATAAGAACATGCTGACATATACTGCCAAATATTTAATTATTTTATTTATTTATCTTTTTATACCATGGCTGGTAGTAGGCAAAAAGAGGAAAGGGGAAAGGTGGCAGTCAATATTTAATTATTATTCATGTGTTTAATTTTAGTTAACTTAAGAAAATGAATGATAAAAATATCAAATATTTGAGTTCATGGCACAATATTTGTCTCCATGCACACAAAAATACTTTTGGCAATCTCTTTAAAAAGCTAATGAATAATCTAAGATTGAATAAACTTCACTAAGTTTAGCACATTTTAGAAAAAACACTTGTTGATTTCCAAACTCTAAGGATTTTTTTCCCACTTCTACTCTAAAGACAGCAGACTTCCACTTCTAGGTAGGATGGGATCATTTGTGAAAGACCGATGCTCCAGCCTAGAGAAAAAGAGAAGCTTCACTAATGGCAACACTCATCTGTTTAAAGGGAGCAGAGGGCTACTGCTACAACCATGACTTCAGTGCCTAGGATTCTGAAAAGGGGTTAACTGTAGAGAAGTGATTTGAGGAGCTGCGGTCACTTTTTTTCTCCTGAGAATTTTTCAGATTCTAGGCATGATAGAATTCTAGGCATGACAGGGGGCCCTGGTGTGGTGCTATGGGGTAATGCACCAAACTGCCACGTCGGTTTGAACCGCAAGGTCAGCAGTTCAAGTTCACGAGCTGCTCCTCAAAAACCCTATACTGGGTCACTAGGAGTCGGAACCAACTCGACGACACTTAAAAACAACTACAAGGCATGACAGAGAAATCAAATTTTTGGCAGTTATGCAATTTTTGGCTGAAATGACATCCTTGAAGATGTGAGACTTATTTCTCCCTCAAATCATTTTCTAAATTCTAAACCTGTGCAAGGCTGAATTTAAGAAGCTCAACCCCGAGTCTATGAAAAAGAGTTTTCCACAGTCTTACAGTGCTGAGGAGACAAAGACCAGAGTTGAGGATCTGCCAAGAGTACCAATCCAAATGACTATCACCCAGAAGCATCACACAAAGTACAAGGTGAAACAAAAGCATACCAAACTTGCCCCCAGCTTCCATGAGAAATAGTAAAGCATTCCCAGTGGTGACAGAAATGAATGGATTTGAAACATTTTATGAAGCAAGCAAGAAAGAGAAGGGACAACTGGCCAAATGATCATTTGAGCAGACCAAAAAAAAGAAGTGAACCAGTGCAGAAGTCGCTAATAGTGTAGGACAGAGGTACAAATGCAGGTAGGTTGATAGGTGAAATTATGGCAACATTTAGAAACTCTGTTTTAATGAGGAAGAAGGCTTATCTGAGGAGAAAGGAAAAGAGGACTAACCCGATGAAAGATGGAAGATGATTACCAGATAATAATACAGGTCTACTTGCAAACAATATTCCAACAATGGGCTTCAAAAAGTTTATGGAAAATGGAATTAAAAAAATAATTAAAATTTTCCATTAATTTCTCACAAACTTAAAGTAAGTTTGTAGCCAGAAAAGGTGTGTGATTTTCATCTGCCCAAGTTGTGATCATTTAGAATGGGCAGACAGTTGAATTTATCTATGTTTGGGTTTTGCAACATTGAGTAGGAAAAGGAAGATGGGACAAGAAAACTGAGGTTATAGTATACGTAAGTTGACAATAATAATGGGCCATGTTATCTAAACTAAGGAGGAAAATGAGGACATAAGGAGTTTTATGAATTGAAGAAAGGTTGCAGTGGTGGTTGTGTACCGTCGAGTTGGTTCAGAGCCATACAGAACTTGCATAGGGTTTCCAAGACTGTAAATCTTTATAGGAGCAGAAAGTCTCATCTTTCTCCCATGGAGCGGTTGGTAGAACTGAATTGCTGACTTTGTGGTTAGCAGCCCAATGCATAACCCACTATGCTACCAGTTGTTGTGTTGTGTTGTTATGTGCCGTGGAGTCAGTTCCGACTCATAGTGACCCTGTACAGGTTTTCCGAGGCTGTATATCTTTACGGGAGCAGAAAGCCTCATCTTTCTCTCATGGAGAAGCTGGTAGTTTCGAACTGTTGACCTTGAGGTTCGCAGCTCGATTCGTAACCACTATGCGACCAGAGCTCTTTAGAAAAGAGGTACTAAATAGAAAATATTCTATAGGTACCCCAAACCACTGTTGTCAAGTCAATTTCAACTCATAAGGAAACTACAGGTCAGAGTAGAACTGCCTCATACAGTTTCTGAGGCTATAAACCTTTAATAGAAACAGCAGCCCTCAGCTTTCTCCCTAGAAGAAGCTGGTGGGTTTTAACCACTGACTTTCCAGTTAGTAGTCCCATGCTTAATCCACTGCACTGCCACTCCTTCTACAGGCGCCAATGGAACTGAAAAATTGCTGGAGTTAGCATTCTAGCGTAAATGAGTTGAAAAGATTTAGATGGTGGTTAGAGAGTGGGACACGTGAATCTGAGATTGAACACAACAAAGAAAAGGATATGATGGTACAATGCTTGGCTTAAGTAGTGAGGAGCACACGATCACTGGAGAAGAAAAATTCACAGAAATGAGGGGCCAGATATTTGAACATATTATCTAAACAGCTATTTAAATCACCGGTTCATCTGACAGAAGCAGGATGAACACGGGCATAGGGAAGGAGATTCTAGGATCTTTACAGATGAGGGGAACTAACATAGGACTATGCAGATGATTGCCACAACAGTGTTTCCAGTGGTGCAGTCTGAGGCAAGAGCTTCAAAGTGTAAGTGCTGGGGGAGGAAAACAGAAACACTGGTCTAAAAAGCACTCAAGAGAAATAAGTTTCCAGGTCCAGTGGTATAATTAGTGTGAAAAGGATTACAGCCATTTCTTGAGAACTGCAGTAGAAACAGTATCCTTAGTGAAGCAATCAGATTTCAGTTAGAACAGAAAGGTGAAGGTAGTGATCAAAAAAGAATATGCTAATGATTTGATTCATTGATCAATGTTTACTAAAAGGCATAGAGTTAGATAATGGGAATAAAGCAGTAATAAAGATATAATCACCGTACTCCAAACATTGAGATTCTAGTAAGACATTTCATATAAAAGTATTAATATTTTTGTAACGAGTTAACAGCTTTATTAAGAAATAAGGGTGCATATATTTGAGCAGTAGTATAAAGAAACATGCAGTTATTTTAATGTACCTCATCATTATGGTACTAATTAAATATTTAAAAAATAATGTGAATCAAGTTTATCTGGGCAAAAGTCATTTTTTTATGGAATGGGATAGTGATCTAAGTATATACATATGCACAGTTACCTGAGACAAAGCTGCATCCCGTTCCTCTAGCACTGCATTCATTTCTTCGGCAGTTATTCTCTTCTTACATTCCTTGGTTTTGTAGATTCTATCCACAATTACAGCTCCATTCTCCTGAATCGCTATCCCTGTGTCTGCGTTGTTTATTCTGTTCAGTAATTCCTGTAATGTCTACCAACACCATTATATGTTAGTCAGACATGAAGTTTTAATATATTTTATTTAATATAGGGTTTTAATTAATAGGCACATGTGAATTGTAAATTGACTGAGTGAAGTTATTGAATTTTCATATTGCAGCAAAGATGTACATTATTAGTGTGTCAATTCTGCTTTTTCCCACATCTTAGTTCTTGAAACCCACTCAATTGAACTTAAGCCTCTAAGATATAAGACTGACATCAAGAAATCTCCTCAGAGAATGGCTTACCATGTCATTTTCTTCAGGGTTAATATTTTCTAGCCTAGAAAAAAGGAACACAGAAAGCCTCATCAGTAGCATTTCCTTAGTGCAGCAAAATGAGTTCGCTTTTTAAATCTTTAGAACCTCAAGTAATTTCATTCGACTAGTCTTTAGAGTCAACCATGACACTGAACATATTAAAGTGCCACCTGCTCGCCTCCATCTTTCAATAATGCTCCATATCTTCTGCACTGAATTCAGACTGTTAAGTTATTAATGTTTACTGCTATATATGACTACAAGGATCAATTGTTCATATGTGCTCAGATGAAGAAAAGTTCCCCGGTGATAAACGCACTCATTCGCATCATTATATTTATTCCTGGACTTTGAATTCTTTTCAGACACCCTATTTCCTTTCTTTTCTGGACATCATCACAAACAAAACAAGGCAAGTATTTCTATTACAAGTTTAACTATGTTCCCTCAAAAGCAATGGCAAATAACTACCACTAAATTTTACCTAACAATCTCTTGCTAGTACCTATTTGTTAAAACAAATACACACTGTAGAAAGGATGACTAAAATTAAACCGCATTTTTGGGTTGCTATTTTACTTTCCCTTTTTAATAACATATATAATAATTTAATTTAAAGACATAAAAAGTAAAAGTGAATTTTGTCTTAAAGGACTACTGTTTTTGTGAAATGTTTGTTGATGTTGATGAGCTAAAGAAATACAGTAAATGGAGTTCTTATATAACAAATATTCTCAAACTTAAAAATATTTATAAGTAATATAAGCAACAGTGAACTTGGATAAATTGAAAAAGATCTATAGTGGTTAATAGTGAAATTAAATAGTCTCAATTATTTTGAAATAGTACTTAAAAGTTGAACTATACATCTTGTTTTCTTGGTTTAAAAAATAAAGTTTTTGTGCTACTATGATTTAACACCCATTCTCACACACACACACACACACACACACACAAACAAAAGGATACTAGAGAGACATAATAGAAAGCACTCAATAAATATATTACAAAACAATTCCAAAATGTACAATTCAATGAAATCTCTACGAAACGAAACTATAACTTTTAGAAGACAGCATTTTAACAGAAAAAAATATTAAAAAAATTGACTTCTTCACATACTGAAGTAGTATGTTAATGGTATGATATAATACCTTTATATTATACATATTCAATTGCATGTCAGATTTATTAATGTCTACTACTTGGATTCGCACTTATATAAGGGCAAATATCCTCACTTATCTTTTCTCTTCCGAAATAAATCAGCAGTTTTCTATAATGCTGCTTCACAAAAGCTTGTCTTACAAGAACTGCTTCTTTTTTACTTAATCAAGGAACATAAAGGAATATATAATAAAATTCTTACAGCTTCATTTACAATCAGAGTAAAAATATTTGAAGAACATCAATAGTAAATTGATAGAGTAAATATTATTTTTAAGGAAGCCATATTTGGTGAGAAATATTTATTTTAATGTTATTCTATTTAGATGAACTTAGAGTATGAACTAATGAAGGCAATTTTAAATAAAATTCAATAAAAAATTTTTTAAAGTTCACAATTGCTTTATTAAATTTCTTATTTAAAATGTGACAACATATACTGAAATGAAACATTTCAATTGGTAGATTCCTGGAAACCTTTGCAACAGAAATTATATTTATTTCAAGGTTATAAATTTCTATGTTCAGTTTCAAAGAATTTTATATGATCACAAGGAAATTAGCAGTGTAGGTAGATTACAAATTTGTATATCCTCAACAATCAACATAACAAAAAGTATATAGAATTTCTGTGTCTTCAGGCTTAGAAATGTGAAGAATTATTATTTAAAATAGAGGCAGATTGAGCGTTTAAATGTTTTAAATTAATATCTTTCAGTGAGATATTTACACAAATATTTAAACACTCTAGAAAAAAGGAAAATTTTACAAAATTAAGATAAAACGTTATTATGAATGGCCACTCATATTGTAGCTAAGTTAAAGAAATGTAGTCGATTTTTGACACATTCATTTACCATTCCTATTTTGAATAATTTATGTGATTGTACCTACAGATGTATCATAAGTGTAACTTGCCGTTTGCTGATGTATAAATGTAAACTATGTTTGTTTGTGAGGCTAGTGGGCAAGTTAGAGTGCTTAGGACATGAATGAGTGAAATCAACCTCCTAGTATTTACATCTCAACTTAACGTCACTATTTTTCGTAACTGCAGTTCGAAACTACCAGGTGTTCCGCGGGAGAAAGATGAGGCTTTCTGCTCCCTTAAAGATGTACAGCCTAGGAAACCCTGTTCAGGGTCGCTATGAGTCGGAACCGAATCTAAGGCACATAACAACAACAACAATAATAGTAATAGAGTGATAAGTGGCCACTGAGGGAAGAATGAAGTTTTAATGTTTAATTTATTATTTGAAATTTCACATAGGAAATCAATAACTTTAAACAGAAACAAAGATAAATTTCACTATATATTTCTTTACTAGTGTTGAGGAGTATTTTTCATAGATAAAGATCAACTACTTCTCAATTTAATCTCACGTATATATCTATAACTACTATACAGAGCCGGTCATAACTTTTTTTCTATAAAGACCCAGGTAGCAAATATTTTATGCTATGTCATATGTTCTGTGTCACAGCTACTAAACTCTGCCCTTATAAGTGCTAAAGCATCCATACATATATGAAAATGAATGGCTGTGGCTATGTTCCAGGAAGACATTGACGAAAACAGCTGGCAGGCTAGATTTGCACCTTGGTTCTTAGTTTGCCAATCCCTGATATAAAGTATTGGAACATGAGAGCCAACTCTGAATGTTAACACACCATAAGCACCAATTCTGTATATCTGATTTCTTTATTCTTAGCTAGAGCATTCAATATCCAGTTAAAAATTAAAGAATTACCAAAAAGGATCTTTAAAAAATTAATTTAAAAAATTAAATTTCAGGCCTAAAATGGACATATCACTTATTGTGTCACATAAGACAACAAAAACATTAGACAAACACAATAAAATAAAATAAAAATACCCCATAAAAACAAAAAAGACAATTTAAAGCAGCTGTAAAATATTTTCAATTTTATAGTCATTTTCTCTATAAAATTACTGTGAGAGCTACTGAGGTACACTAGTAGCCTGTATTACATATAAAGCTTTAAATTAAGAATTAAAATAATAATAAGCATTGCATGAAATAGAAAAACTATAAATTATATCCCAATGTGAAGTCTGCAGTTATACAAACTTATCTCGATCTTTCCAATCTAAGTTAAGCTTACAACATTCTAACTTGACATAGTAATGATAATTAGTAACAATTGTGCTGAAGCAAATGTCCATGGGCTAAAGTTTCAATTGATTTCCTATACCCTACAAATTCTGACTGACAACTTTGCACTCTAAGTGAAAAGACCTATACACGAAACGTCAAATTTCTTGATTTATCCCTAACTCAGTCAATATCAGCTTTTTGCTTTCAGAACATACAATCATTCACCTTGTTGAGTGGTAGGAAACAAAACTTAGGCCTCAACTGACAATGAATGACTCAGTGGAATCAGAAAATTCCATAACATGTGTTTTTACTCGCTAAGACTCATCTGCCAACCTTAAAATTGCTTTGAAAACAAATCAACAAAAACAAAACAAAATGTTATCATGAACTCAAATTAGGAATATACATATACAAACTTGTACAAACAGGCTACAAAAATTCATGGAAAAGTGGAATTGAAAGATAATGCAATTTTTCCACAAACTTTTTGAAGCCCTCTTAGTTGTGCAGTAAGGAGCACTGCATGTAATCCACTACTCTACCAGGGCTCCTGGGAGATAGAGAACATCTTTAACTTCCATAAAAATTTGCAGCCTCAAACACCCTACAAAGGCTCACTATGAATTGGGAATATCTTGATGGCAGTGGGTTTGGGTTTTTTTTTTTTCCTTCTTCTTCTTCATTTTTTCTTTTTGGTAGCACTGTTGGATAAATACTGAACTACAAGGTCAGTAGTTCTAACCCACAAGCCACTCTGCAGAAGAATGATGAGGCTTTTTGCTCCCAAAAGATTCATAGTTCCAGAAACCCTTATTAGGTAACTAAGAGTAGGAATCAACTTGAGGGCAGTGGATTTGGTTTGGGTTTTTATATAATTAGCTTTTATATGTTAAGTCTTTTTAACTTTTATCCTTTCTATTCTTTTTTTTTTTACTTTTGGATAGAAGGAATAAAACAAAACAAGAAATGAAAACACACACACACACACAAACCCACTGAATATTAAAGGTGTGGCACTGCAGGTTAACACTGAGAATTGCAGAGTTGGTTTGAACCACAAGGTTGGTGGTTCAAGCTTACCAACCACTCCTCAGAAACTCTATAGAGTCACTACGAGTTGGAACCAACGCGACACCACTTAACAATAACAACAAATACAGGCAGAGAAGTAGGAGAATGAGATAAACAAAATATAAAGTAGATAAAAAGCGGCAAGATGATGAAATAAAAAAAAAGAGATGGAAGTGGAAGAAATAGGGAATAAAAATAAAAGATGTAAAGTAATTTATAGTTTTATTCGACACTGAATGCCTCCAAATACGCCTTTGAGTTGAACATGCTAAATTATGATTTGGTTCCATCTTGCTGTGTTGTTAGGTGTCACTGAGTCAGTTACAACTCATAGGGACTTTATGCACAATAAAATGAAACACTCCCTAGTACTGCACCATCATCACAATTGTTGTCAAGCTTGGGTCCCTTGTTGCTACCACTGCGCCAATCAATATCTCTGGGGGCGGTCTTCCTCTTTTTCGCTGACGCTCCACATTGTTAAACATGATGTCCTTCCTTCTCCAGGGACTGCTCCCTCCTGATAATAGGTCCAAAGTATAAGAGACGAAGTCTCACCCATCCTGAGTTCTAAGGACCAACTGGGCTGTGCTACATCCAACAGATTTCTCTGTTCTTCTTGCAGTCCATGGTACTTTTAATATTCTTCTCCAAAGCCATA